ATATGTAGTGAACAATCCCAATTTTTCCTAGATATACAGCACTAGGCATATATAACTACAAGTTTACTGGTGAGTTTGCCTCCTTATACTAGTATGTTTTGTATCTGTATACAGACGAGCACTTATTTATATTTAGCAGCAATTAGGAGTGAAACTTTTGTAATGCAGCATCTGAAATGAAGATGATTGCACTCATGGAAGAAAACTATTAAAAAAAAAAAAAAAAAAACAACTTGTAAGTTCACATAGAAGTATTTATTATAGAAGTTTCTTCTGATGCATCTGAATCAGTCATGCAAACCCTTCCTCACTCTCAAGCACGTTCATTCCATGTAAATAAGTTTGATGGGAAATCTGACACACGGGATATGTGTGATTCCTACTGAAGTTCTTAAAAACTAATGGTGACTGTACAGGATGCAGGTAACACTTCTGAGTTGCTTGCAGTATTGGTGCACTTCACACGAGCTGTGCAATGAGCAGAGACTGCAAAACGATGAAATGTAAAAGATCAGGATGTGAGGAATAGAAAGGTTTTCATCTGAGTGCTCCTGTTTTGATTTATTCTGATCTTACCTATGATTTTAAAATATCAGTAAATAGGGTTAATTAATGAGGATTGTTGTTATAGGTAAGGCAAACAAAATACCATATATGATGTTAACAAACTTATGTAGTTAACAAACATTTGTTATTCTTTTCCTTTAATTTGAATTTCCAAAGCAAAATTCTGAAAATTTTGGCTGCATTTAAATAACGTACATGCATTGAAGGGCTGTTGGGGCATCTCTTTCAGCTCTTTAAAACCTGTGATGATCAGCTCCCCTCAACTTTTTCAAGGCATCATTTACATACATTAGTGTGCAGTTCAGCATGAGATAAGCTGCCTTGGGTTGTGTGTGGCTTATTGTGTTGGGAGAATGTTTGCTGAAAGCACCTCTGGCATTTTCGCATCCTCCCTGAGCAGCTGCTGACAGCAATTTCTTTAGTGGCATTTGAGTAAGATAAAAAACTGGATCTGCTACTCAATTTTAATGTTAAGGAGGAAGTTTCCAATCACAGTAAATGATAAATGCTTTAATCTGTGTTATCCCTATATGAATGCTTTTTAGATTTTGTTCATAGCAGCTATTTTTCTAATTGTTTTTCTCACTTTAGAGTTCCTTTAATTAGTAATGTACTGTAAGCATCAGTTATCTGTCAGGGATTGCTTACATAATTCAATGCCCCATCCTAGATGAGTAACAGCACCTTCAGAGATAATGAAATTTTCCTACCATGTCATCACCTATGTTAATTTTGTTCATGCACGTGTTTGTGCATGAGGGACAGCAGAACTGATCTGAAACCTTGAGTTGTTTGGAAGCTGTCCCAAAAGGCTGGTTGGAAAGGACCACAATGATCATCCAGTTCCAACCCCCTGCTATGTGCAGGGTCACCAGACCACCAGACCAGGCTGCCCAGAGCCCCATCCAGCCTGGCCTTGAATGCTTCCAGGGATGGGGCATTCACAGCCTCCTTGGGCAACCTGTTCCACTGCATCACCAGCCTCTGTGTGAAAAACATATGCAAGATTTTTCATTATGAGCATAGCACATAAATATTGTCCCCAAACTGCTGGATTTTCCTAATGGGTTTTGGAATGTGTCTCTGCCAATGCAAATCACACGCATACAGCTTGACTGAGATTCAACCAATAGGAAACAAAAATTACTGTATTTTTTCAGGAAAGTTGAAGTCTGTCATGCTTGTTTATGTTCTGCCTCTGTTTTTTCAATTAAACTGAAGTGAATGTGAAGTAGCTAAATTTCATCTAAATTCGCACAGCTGAGGAAGCCCATGCTTGCTCTTTCTCTAAATTTTCACTGAGGGGCTTTTATCTCCCCCTAATCCCACCATTTCTGTCAGGACATAATCTCTTTCTCAAATTTACATTTTAATTACAAGGCCAGCTGAACTAGCTAAAATCAATAATGTCAGCATTCAGCAGCCTAACTTCAGCTGAAACCCCAGCCTCTCTCTTTCCTTCTATCGATTTGTCTTGAGAATACGCTCTACTTTATTGCCTCAGGCAAATAGATGCCATTTGGTCAATTTAAACAAAAAGGGGGACTTGAACATTTTTATGATTCTTTCTGAAAGCTGCCAGTGGAACAATTTGAAGCCAGGTACTGTGCTTGTGTCGAATAAAATGCACAGAACAGCAGAGTTCTTAAGAGGAATTTTACTTGTAAAGCTGCACTAAATTCCATCTGCATTTTAAAAACAAAGCAACAGAAAAACCAACCCTGATATTGAGATGGCACTGTCTGCATAGTGGCTCTTCATCTCGTTAGCAAGAACTGATTTTATGAACAGATGAAAAAAATCCACGGTAGAGGTGGTGTTAGCAGTGTGGCAATGTATTTACCTTTAGCTGTTTTCCTGTTAATGGTTTAAAATAAGAACTCAATGGGAAAAATAGTTTTTCTTGTAGCTCCTAAGAATTCTTGTATTGATCCTTTGAGTGATTTTATCTAATTGTCAACTTGTCCATTTGTCTCTCTTTTTCTGTGTTGTTGAGTGCCTGCCTCTGCTGTCCCCTGCTGAACAAAATCAGTGTATTAATGAGTGGGCAATTCTGCTTCCATACGTATGATAGGAAGAAAATTGAATAGAGCTAGGATTGTCTGAGAACTTCTGGTGTATGTGCACATATCTCTCTGAAGAGAAATAGAGATGTGGTAAGAGATGCACACCTGATAGCTTTCATTTAAAGATTATCTGTATACAGTGTACTCACGCTCTCAAAACCTTTGCTTTAAACAATCCTTTGCAGAAAGATATTCTTGTTCCTTAACAAAAAAAAAAAAAAAAAAAGGCATTTTAAGTGCTAGATACAGTCTAAGCAATTTTGCTTTACAGATACAGTCTGCTGCACATATTTTCTGAGCTAACCTTGCAGATGCCAAATGTTGTGTTTGCTTGTAATGGTTTCTAACATAATGGGAAGTTTGCTTGTCTAAATCCTGACAGTTCTAGAGACAGTCTTTTGGGTTAATTCTGTCTCACTTTGATCATTTTGATACAAAGCACCCTAGAAGGGCTTTTTGCTTTTTACACGATGACAGAAGCTGAGATGCAGTCCTGTCCTTCCCCTTACCAGTTAGATAAATTCAAACTTATTCCCTTCAGTGAAATATTAAATGTTGAGGCAAAATATTTCTGTGGAGGTTCCATCAACCCTTGTGAATGGCAAGTCTGCAGCCTAGTAAACATGACATCATTTCTTGTTAGCCTAGATGTTCCTTTGCTTAGTTCCAACTATTCTGCTTAATTATCACTGCTGCTCCTTCTGCTGATTTTCAGGCCATTTTCCAATGTACAGATTACTTTTTTAAACAATTGTAATTTCTTTTTAAGCAGTGTTCTTTCCAGCCTTGTTGACTTTGGGAAGCAAAGTAAGGTAGCAAGGTGAATGTGACACATTCGTTGCTTTCAGTAGAGAAGGTGATGTGAGGATGACTGGGTAAGGAAGGAGCACTGATATGCTCATCAGTGGCATCACCAGGGGCGAGAAGGCTTTGTCTGTCTGCAGCTGGCCAGCCTGCAAGGCTTTCACTGGACAGTATGTGTTCTGTTGTCTTGAGGTTTGCTGAAGTCTTTGGCCTCATGGTCTCAAGTTATGAAATGTTTAGTTACTGATGATTGAGTGGCATGCAGGATGCGCTCAGTGTGTACTTTGTTACTGCAGATATTTAAGAGAAAGGAAGCATGCAGTTGGCCTTGGGTACCTTCTCTGACATATCTTGGGATGTACACCTAGATGGTCTCTGGCAAATTCCACGTGAACTTTTCCTTTTCTAGTTGTTATCTTCTGAAATATTTGATGACTAAGTAAAGCAAAGCCAGATTACTTATAGATACAGCTTCAGGGCTCACTGGAAGTGAACAGAAAGAAGAGGCAGAAGGAATGTCCCATATCAACAGTGGCTAAAACTTGTTGGGTGAACGCAGGTTGCTTTCCTTAAGAAGTCTGAGGTATTTCTCTGGAAACTTTAGTCTGAAACTATGACTACTTTTGGTTGATAATTTTTTGGGGGAGATGTTATTTCAATTTCTTTTATGAAAAAGCATTCTGGAAGGGAAAACACTGTCTGTTACATAGGTGTGAGGAACCATGTCTTTCCATTGCAGCTGCTGTTGGCTGAAAAGTTCTCGTTACTGCTGCCAGCTAATAGAGTTGCTTCAGCTGGTAGCAGCATGTGCTATTCAACTGCTTGGTCTATCTAATTGCATCATTACTGTCCATGCTGACTGGCTAATCGAGCTGTATGAAGTGATTAAGTCGCCCCACCGCTGAGCTGCTGTTGCTGAGCTCTGCCTGAAGCTGCCTCGCAGTGGGTTTGTTCCTCAGGTGTCACTCATGCGTTTATTGTCCCTTCAGAGCACTCTGGCTGTACTGCTGTGCTTCTTAGGTTGTTTATCTTGGCATGTTGTGTATTTTAGTATCTGTGAAAGAAGAAAGTTGTCTAGATAATTCTGTTTGAGGATGTACTTAGGAATTGAAACTGAATTGTTATTTGATGTAGTGTTAGTAGCTCTTTCATTCCACTTTACCTTGATGTAACTGTGAGTATAGAAATGACATCTTAGCAAGATAGACACTTGTGACACTAGAAACCTGCATACAGAAAGCAATATCACATTTTAGACTAACATATATTGTTAAAATCCCTTTTTCCAAGACCAAGTAATGCCATTCTTTGCTTTCACATGATGTCACATGAATTTAAAAGTTTGTTTGCTGTCATTAGCTTCTCAGTATGTTTCTGTTTCAAAATCCAAAATAGTAAAACATTGTAGACAGAAATACCACTGCGTATGAGTGGGATTGATACCTAACGTGAATTCAAAAGACTGCCCCTCTACAAGTGATGGCATTATGAACTGCTTTGGCCCTGCTGTGAAGCATGGAGGGCAGGGGAAATGAACCCTCTCAACACTGATTTCTTTTTCAGGCCTTGAGCCTCAGTCACCCCCAAAAGCACCAGCAAGGAAGGCTCCTGCAGGACCAGCTCCGTTCAGCTCCCGTGCCCGGCTGAAAGGGAATGAAGATGAACTTGATCCAACTTGTGCAGCTGCAACATTGAAGCTTATCAGAGACAAACTACAAAAGTTAACACCTCCACAGGCCAGGTTATTTTTATTCAAATTCTTAGGATCCATAGGAGCCTCTTGCTCTTACTTGTATTTATTAATAAAGCAAGCACAAAGAAGATTGCAGAAACTGAGCATACTAAAGGTTTAGGCTGCCTTGTTTCCATTTTAAAGGTATAATTATTTTGCTCAGATGTGTATTTACTGCTTAAAATTTGGGAGTTTGTTAGTGATTGCTTTGGACTATTAAGGAATATTTTACTAATCACTTGGTTTAGGTTTAATTTGGTGTTAGTGGCCTCAGTGTATCCTTTAGGATGGGAGGAAAAAAAGACAACACTGTAAAAACAGTTGTAGTCCTAGATTTAAGTTAACATTAGGGTTGGTATGAAAACAGAGAACAAGTTGTGGTCACTTGTTCTCTCTTGACTTTTCTTTGTTTTTCTCTAGTGAGTCTGCAACTACTGAGCCAGCAGCTTTGGAAGAGCCTGACAGTAAGAGAAGAAAACTAGAAGAGGAAAGAGCTAAAGCTCCCCTCATGCCTTTTGGGTTAGATCTTCACTACTGGGGACAGGATCAGCCAAGTGCTGGGAAGATTCTCAAGTAAATGCTCTTTCTCTTTTAAGATAGATTAAACAAATACATAGATTTACTTGTACTCAGAGGTCACACAGTGGGGTGGCTGCTATTTCTTTTGATAATTACTTTTCTTCTTTCTCTTGTGTTGTGGGACCCATAAACAAAGTCAGAAATTCTACCTTAAGAGGGTATTTGTTTTGAGAAGTTGTGGTACTAATTAAATATCCTTTGATGCTTTAAAGCACATTTTTTCTGCTTTTTTCATGTTTGTGTATTATTTGCAGCATGGCAGCACTTCAGTTTAAATTGGTACCTTATTATGCAAAGTGTTCTGCAGGTCCATGGTAGGCAGTCCCTCTGCTGAAGACTTCACAGTCCAAATAAATAACAGGCAGGGTAGGAGAATGACAAGGGTGGTGTGGGGTATTTTTCCTGACTTTACAGAGTGGTAACTGGGGAAACTGATACGCTTGTTCAGTCACACAAGGAGTAAGTGGCAGTTGCAGGATTTGTATTTTGATCTCTCACTTTCCATTCTTGTTTGGGAAGGCTCTGTGTTCCTTAGAGATGAAGCACTGCTGGTTTGAGAAAAACTCTAGTAATGCTAGGGGCAGTAGATTGTAGATACGCTTCAGAACTTATTTCTAGCAGTTTGTTTTTAAAGCCCGTTTTTAGTACTAGTATTTTTATATGAATGTTGGGCTGCAAAGTCTTTCCTTTGTGTATAAATTCAATTTAAGTCCACCAGGAATTACCTATCAGCGTGTACCATATTTTGCTTGAAAAGGGCAAAGATCATTGACTAGCTGGCTTGAAGATCAAGCTTGTAAGTTCTCAGCAGTGCTATTTTAACTTAGTTTGTTTCCTTACTAAATCGAATAAATTAAAAACCCTGTAATCATAATGTAGACTAGAGTAATAATGCTATACATACAAAATGTAAACGGTGCTACCCAAGGGAAATGCCATCATCATCATTTCCGCCTTTGGAAACTGAGGAACCCTGTTTTTCATGACAGGTCCTTCTGCCTGCCAATGTTTCATGTAACAGTATTCATCTTCACTTTTTAACAATAGCTAAGTGAATGTTCACCCTGTGGAAATCAGCCTAATTTGCTGATTGTTAGTGCCTTTTTTAGATAATACCCTCTCAACTGTATATTTGCTGAGCAAAGGAACAAGAAGAAAGCTTTGCCTCCTGTACTTGATTATAGAAAGTGCTGAATTTATTTTAAATTATTGAAAGTCGGTGAAATTTGATACATAACAGAGCTTTAACAGATACTCCAAGTTTTGGTCTCTGTCTGGTTAGGTGTAACCAGGCTATAAACTGGTTAAGATTTTCAGCAAGGCTTTAAGAAGCAGTTGACTTTGATAATGCCAAAAAGGTAGTAAGGCCTTATTTTACATTGCAAATGAGTTATTCAAGTCATAAGTGAAATGAAAAGCATATTTCACTGCCTGTCTGCCTTGTGCTGTACTGTTTTATTTTTATGCTTCTCAATAAAATAGAGGGCATACTTCTGAACCTTATGGTCTATAACTACAGATATGCCAATCTAACCAAAGATAATTTAAGTAATCCTGCACATACAATACCATTGACCCCTGGATGTAAAACGTTATTTATTGAAAAAGTAAAACAGTCATTGACCAACTCCTTCAACTTTTCTATCTTACAGAGATGCTAGAAAAAAGCCACACCAACAATAGACAACACCGGAGTGTGTATGGGATTTCAATCTTTTAAATCTGAAGTGGCAGTCTTTCCCCTTCACTTATTTAACATTACACTTCACAACACCATGTGTGAGAAATTAACATTTTAAAATGTTGGTAGTAAGACTTGCTGTGAAGAAAGATGGCTTTCCTAATCATCTTTAGCTGGTAAATGTAACCATGTGTTACTGTAACCCACAGTTTGAGCTGTACTTTTTTTCCCACTTCAGACTTCACTTGCAACACCAATAAAGTTAGCTTAAGAAATCTTAACAAGATTGTTGTACTGTGTAGAAACTGCTATGCTAGTTAACCTATGCTAGTTAACCAATAGGTTTTGGAAAAAGCACGTGCCTTCCAGATTGATTTACCACTTCCCTGAGTTACAGATCTTACTTAGGGTGCTTACTCATAGGCTGAAGGCAAATGAGGGCTAGGATACAGCTCACCCTAGCCTGCTTCATGTGTGTGTCTGCCATCTACAAAAGGCAAAGTCACCAGCAGTAGTATGTACTGTCAGAGGTATAATCACTGCATCCTGAGGCTGACATCTAAAATGAGTCAGTTAATTGCTCTCTGAAGCTGCATGTCAGCCTAGAGTGACTAGAATGAATTTGATTAGTACTGTTAAGAAAATTCTAAAATGTTACAGGGTCTCCAGCGTTCTTGTTTCCGTTCTCTCCCATTCCCCACATCTATTGACGTGGTACTAACTGTATTTGTAGTACAATAAGAAGGAGTATACTTGTCTGTATGTGTTTGTAAATACAGGTAAGACTCATGTTTTAAAATACATTCTCAATGAATTAGCTTAGTTCCTAGAGGAACACCCCGTAAGTTTCTCAGTGTTACTAACACTGTCCAGAAGAACAGCCTACTGAACCTAGAAGAATCTCTGATGCTCAGCTGATGGGTCTCAGTATGTCACAAGATGCTCGTTTCAGCTTCTGCTTCTCTGCAGTTACAGGAGTGCAGCTGCCAGGAGTAAGATCAGACAAGTTAAGATCAAGCTGTGTCCTCTCTGATCTGTCTTGTGTTTTCTACTATAGGAATATTATGTTATAAAGAGTATTAACCACAGAATTGCAAAGTTGTTCACTGAAACTGGACATTGAGTGACTGCCTCTGAATGGCAGATCACCAGCTAGAGCTAAGACTGGCGAGAGATGAGCTGGTTAAAGAGAAATCAGTACTAGACAGGTTTTGGTGATATTTTCAAAACTATCTTCATAATAGGAAACTACTATTCCTTCTTAAGACTCTAGCTTTTTTTTCTAACTCTATGATAAACCTTCACCTCCTTTTACATAAAATTTTACTTCAGGATTACACTGTATCTCTCTGCATTCTTATACACTGAGCTTATGTTTCATCCAGGCAGCTCAGCACGCTTGGCTGGGAAAGGCACAACTTATCTACAAAGAAATAATTTCTGCATTGTTTTCCCAGATTTACTTCCGAGCATCGATTTTGGGCACCCAGTGAAGTAGAGGAAGAGGTAGAAAATAAAGAAATAACCGAAATGTTAAACACCAGATATATAACATTTGCTGGCAAGTTTGAACCAGTGAAGCATAAATGTCGAGCGCCAATGCCTGATGGAAGTCTGTGTGAAAGACAAGATCGGATTAAGGTGAGCACCAAGTAACCTGATTTCCAGAATATGTGGAAATTATATCCTATATGGAGAGGTTCTCATTAAAACATACCTATAGAAGTTTATTTTGCATTAGAAATATAGCACAAGGGATCAAGTGATAGCTACGCTTGGAGAAGTTTGCTGATGATACCTGTTTTTCGTTTGTTAAGGAAGTTGTGCTTGTTCAAAGAACTCTCAAATATTTCTGGCATTCATTTGAAGTATTTATATTGTATTTATTACTCTTACATTGAAGTATTTGACAGTGAAACAGTGAAAGTTGGTTTCTGAAAAGTTCTCCTAATGTAGGGCATATTTGACAGTAGTTTTAGAAGCGTGGTTGGTTGGAGGACTAAGAAATTTTATTCACAAATTAAATGTTATGAAAGCTGTACCCTATGCAGCCTCTAATTATGAGCCCTACTAAGCAAGATCCTTTATTTACATACCTCATTCTAATATCCCCATTCTTGTATTATCTGACATTGCATTAAGGTACTTTAAATGGGATTGTACCAGGAAAAGGGTATAGCATAAACAGTAAACATGATGCAGCATGAGCACCCTGGTTCCAGGGGTGGTAGGATGTACTCCCTCTTAAGAACAAATACCCGTATCACAGAGATTATTTCTTTGATATTCCGAATGAATTCAACATGTGATGTTTATGGGATCCTGATGCCTTATAACAAGGTGTAGAGTTTTACCACTTGATTCCAGTATCGGCATATGCTATATTGAAAAACATGTAAATATATTTTCATTCTAAAGCTGTGAAATTTTTTTCCTTTCTTTCTCAAGTGCCCTTTCCATGGAAAGATAATTCCTCGGGATGAGTGTGGGGTTCCTACCAATGCAGAGGACAGAGCCAGAGAAGAAAAGATGCGCTTTGAGAAGCAAGCAAATCAGCCAGGTTTGTGTGTCCATAGCATCTGGAAAAAATATCAAAAGATTAGGTAGAGGTGAAGATAAACTTTGAGAATATGCATGTGTATTTTACAAATGCTTATATAGAGAGTATAAAATATTTACAGTATCTATAATTTATTTACATTTTACATCAGATTACTTTATTTATAGTATCTGCAATTGGACAACAGTCTCAGAACAGTTGGACAAGTGAGATGCAATGTATGGATGAAAAGCTGATCCTTTCATTGCTGAAGACACAAGTTAAGATACACAGAACTAGATCATATTTCCATTTTGCTTCTGGCCACATTCTCTCATATAAATCCCCAAATTTTAATTTGCAGATAATTTGTAATGATTCTTTCTTGTCTCATAAGTATGACTGAATATACACACAGAATAAGGTTAGCTTTGCAATTTGTTCTTTATTTTCAGTGATTCTCATAATGTTCCTAACACTTCTCAGGCAGTAGTATTATATTATTTATCGTGAAGAACATTATATTAAAAACAAGCTGCAGTTCTGGAAAGGACATCCTCTAACAATGCTGGTCCCCAAGAGTTGTGATTACTGTAATGTAACAATAATATTATTAGGACTGCTGTGAATATTAGCAAAGTGTTTTTGTTGTCACAATGCAGGAACTTAGTTTTATATCTTTTTGTTGGCATTTTCTTGTTTTACAAGAATTCTTGGCCTTGTTACGTTGTACTCCAAATTAGTGAAGTCCTCACCTAGAACTTTATCGGCATTTTAATTAGTCTGATAGTAGGTACAATTTGTATATTACAGTTTACTCTGCCATACTTCATTTTGTTCTTAAACAGCGGGGATAGATAACAAAACTAATGGCTTGATCCTTGTATCCTAGCTGCTGCTTCCAGATAGAATGCTTTAAAGAGAAAGCTCATCATTACCAGGATTATTTTATACCATTTTTAGCTGAGGTAATGCTCTGAACTGTTAGGTAAGGAACAAAGACAGTGAGAAAGGCAGCAAGCAGTGAATATGCAGGCAGAAAGATTTCCAAGGAGAGTAAGGGACTTTTTTTTTTTCTAGTAGTAGAACTAAGCTTCATTAGCAATAACAGAAGGTAGATTTTCATAGAGTCCTAGGGAGACTGCAACCAGGAAGCAACTGGAAGTTGATGGACTACAAAGGAAGATGGGAGAGAGAGATCTATCCAACAAGATAGCGTATAATTGGAGGGAACAGATTTGCTTTCAAATTTATTTACTTTTTATTTACTCAGCCTTTCCCTTATGAAGAAAGGCTGAATGACTTGGACTTGTCTAGCCTGGGGAAGAAAAGGCTCCAGGGAGACCTCGCTGTGGCCTTTTAGTACTTGAAGGGAGCTTATGAGCAGGAGGGTGACACACTTTTTACACAGTCCAACAGTGATAGGACAAAGGCAGATGGTTTTAAACTAAAAGAGGAGAAACTTAGATGTTAGGATGTTAGATGTTAGGAAGAAATTCTTTACTCAGAGGTTGTTGAGGCTGCGGCACAAGGTGCCCAGAAAGCTGAGTGCCCCATCCCTGGAGGCATTCAAGGCCAGGTTGGATGGGGCCCTGGGCAGTCTGATCTGGTGACTGGCAACCAGTCCATGACAGGGGTTGGAACTCAGTGATCTTTAAAGTCCTTCCGACCTAAGTCATTCTGTGACTGCTACTGAGCCGTTCACCAAGTCTCTGGTGTGGGTGAGGAAGTGCCCTGTTCACAGGCAGTTTCATCCTTGTCTGGGTAGAGAGAAGTGCTCTAAGCTGACCTCCAACCAGCAGCACAGGAAATGGGCTGACATAGTGAAGTCAGGCCAGAGATGTAAATGTTGTGCTTGAAAAATGAAGTTCCATGCTTAGTTGTGACAAACTAAAACCAGCAACTTAAGCTAGTAGGTGTTCGTGAGGGACTAGTTTCAAACTGGAAGCTAATACTCTGATAGAAAAATCACTTGTGCTGAAAAATATTGATTTCTTTTTTTTATTCTGTGGAATTGCCATTGCTCTAGGCTAGACATAATACTTATTTTTATTACAGTGTCAGCGCAGTGTTGTTAGAGGCTTCTCACCTCTGGCCCACAAGGATGTATATGTTAGTCCCAAAACACTGTTGACATTGTGATGTTGCATTATTGAGTGCCATTGTTAAGCTGAGATGTCACACAAAGGTCCGTGCTGTCTGTCTGGGGAGATACTGGGCAAGCTCAAGTGCTTAATTTATTGGACAGAACCTTAAAGGTTTCTAAAGCTTTTATATACCAAATGTCACTAAATGCTTTTATCCACTGCTTATTATTTCTTTCTTTTTTTTTCCTGTGCCTCAGAATTTTCATTAGCCTTTAGAAAGGCTTTTTTTGGTTGGTTGGTTTGGGTTTCTGGTTTTGGAAGTCGGGGGGAAGGTTGCTTGGGTTTGGGTTATTTTTGCTTTTTTGTTTGGTTTGTTTTGCTTTGCTTTGGTTTTTTGCGTCATGTCTGAGCAGTGCTGCTCTGGAATATTCAAAGTAGAAATCCACCATAAGTGCTTTGGTCTTATGACTGACAGCATCATTTCCTAATGGTGACAGCTGGAAAAATGCCAAACATTAAAGCTGAGATGTTGGTTGCGTAATTAAATTCTACCAAAGTCTTCCCATATCTTTTTCTTTTTGGATAGCAGTGGTTCTTTTCGTCCTTGAGTGGTTGAAGAGGAAAACAATTACACAGAAATGACACAGTTTGTGTAATAATGACTGTGTTTTGACAACACTATCGTTGATATTATATATCATTTTTAAAATGAGTACAAATTTTGTAATTCTAACTAATGTCCACAAAACGGTGCTTTGGGCTCTTTGGTCCTCAAACAATGAATCAGGAGGGATTACACTGACCTGCTAATCTGTAGTGTTCATCCTCTTCCAATAGTTCGCACACAGGAGCAAATTAAGTGCCTATTTTTTGTGTCAACCCTGCAGAGTATCTGGTTTTTCAGCCCTTAGTGACTTGTTAACAAACAGGTATCAGGACAGGCTGGTGAAGGCAGGCCGCTGGCCAGTCAGATGTGAAATAGCATCTCTTTACTAACTACAGTATTGATTCCCGCCTACCCCTGCAAACTGTGTAATTTTCTTTTCCCTGCTGCTAAACTCAGTAACAATGTATGAAGAGCTTTAGGGGCCCATCAGTGCTCAAAAAGGCTGCTCTTCCCTGGCATTCTATTGATTTTTCTCAAAGGCTTTTAAATTGCTCCTTCATTTTACTCAAACGCTCATTTCATCTCTACTGGATGCAGGCATTTTTCGTTGTGTTTAAACAATTGCTCCATTCACTGGGTTCCTAAACTGTGACGCCTTCTTATTACTGGGAGATAAACTGTTTAGACAGTTTTCCTTAATCTTGGATTAATCGTTCCTGTATCTGAATTGTACTGTTCTGTATTCATTCAGTTCAAAAAAAAAAAAAAAAAGCCACTGAAGAAACCCATCTCTTCAAGTCTTATGATCTATCAAGTATACAGGTTCTATTTTCTCCCTCTGTGATTCTCCTGCCAAGTTCTACATGGCTCCATTTTCCTCATGCTTTTTTTGTTGTCGTTGTTGGATTTTAACCTCTCTGCTTTTGCATATCGTACCAATAGGTTTGATCTAACCAATCTAACACTGGCAAATAACTGTGGCAAATAGCTCTGGGATTCCTAAGCACTGCATTCTGAAGTACCTCTGGCCTTCTCAAACTGTTAGCAGTATTTGTCATGTTTTGTACATAAGTGAAATTGTCATTTAGAGCTGTACATTTTCCCAAAGATGTTAAATGAGAGTAGAAGTTTGGTGTTACAGTTTCTACAGTTTCTGCTGACTTACTTGAATCTATATGACAAATGGCTGGTTATTAAAACAAGGAATTTTGACTTTCACGCTGTGTGGGTAACATTACTCTCAAACTAAATGCTCAACATGTTTATAAAGTGGTGCCATTTTCTTGAGTTTACATAGATATCTCCAGGTAGAAAAACTGACTGTCCTGTGGCCACATGTTTACTTACTGCTGCTTTTATCTTTCATTCTTGTACTGGTATGCAAAACTGTGCTAATGATGAAAGATAAGTGCTTCCTCCAATTTACAGTCTAATTCATTTATGCTTATTCCCATGGTGACTACTGTGCTCAGAATTCACTTAGTGGGGTTGGATTCTGAAGCATTAAGGATTTTATAGAACTGTAAAACAAGTTTTTGAAGAAAGACGTTCACATGGGCTCTTGTCAGGAAACCTGATTTAAATAATGAATCTGATGAAGCGTGGTATAGTTAGAAAGAGTGACCCTTTCAGATGCAAAATTGGGCTTATGGCAACAAGGTCATGTCTTATTCAAGAATTACATGTCAGATGCCAGTTACATTTTGAAGCAAATAAAATCAAATGCAGAAATGTTACAATATTGCTATTTTATCATATTTTATATAGGTAGTTACCTGTTATTCTGCTCTAAAATTGACGAACTCCATATTTTTCATTTTTAAGCTTTTTTTTCAGAATTTATTCCTGAAAATAAGTTCCACAGCTACATTGTTGGCACTTTGTTCAGTTCCTAAATAATGATTGCTGTGTTTATGTCAGCTCTCCTGCATGGAATATTTTCCTTGAAACTGTGTTGCTGTAAAAGCTTAAGTCTTCATACAGAACAGTTTTATCTACAGCAGGTGATAATAGATACTGATCCCAGACTGGCAGGGCTTTTTTATCAAGGTCTGTGGTTTTGACTAACTGCTTTATCCTCCTCTCCCTTCATGTACACAACTTAAAGCACTGACTCTGCCCTTGCCTAGGGGCGACAAGAACCTTTGCCTTAGGTAAGGCTGCAAATTCTGCTTAGGCTCGAATTTTCAAAGTGCCTGGTTTTTCTTATGAACAGAGTGGCGGGATCCAGAATTCATGAGAGAAGTCGAAGCAGCCACGGGAGTGGATCTTGGTTCCTCTAAAAATAATGGGAGAGGAGGAAAAAAGAAAGGGAAGAAGAAATACCCAAATCTGACAGACCTGAAGCAGCAGGCTAACACTGCTCGTTCCCGGCTTGAGAAGATAGTCTTCAATAAGTAAGATACTTATGTTTTCTAAAGCTTGCTAAATTATTGTTTCCCTTTATTTTAGTGGCATTTTTGTTTCTACACAATAAACAGCTTCCTTTGCCAGTGGAAGAGCACAAATGCCTTTTGTGCTGCTGGAGAGTAAAAACCAGGTGACAGAGGTTATTTCTTAGAGTATGATTTTCAGCTAATTTATAAAATTTTCCTATTATTTTTATCATCATTTTCATCTATTTTAGCCTGTAATTGTTGTAGTGTCTTCTTTGGATGAACATTTATTAATGGATGGATGGATGCTACTGCATGCATACAGAAAGCATTGGATGTGGAAAGAGTGACACAGTTTACAAACCAGACACACTGTAGCAGCATGGATGAAGTGAGAACAAAGGGGTTTTTTTCTTCTTGAAAGCCTGAAATGGGTTGTCCTAAGCAGAACTGTAATAAAAGTGTGTGTCTGAAATCTTGGCTTTTCCCATGTGGTTGCCCTCAAGCTTTTCAGAGACTTCCACAAACTTTCCTGAACTTCTTTGCTCCTGTGTGTCTTCTCTTGCTCTCGTGTGTATTAAATTTGTAGCTCAGTCTGTGCAGTGCTTCCCAGTACAGTGCACACAGCAATTCTTTGTCTGTATTATTCAGAGAGATACTGCTAATGCATTTTCTTCTCCTTTGCTGAGAACACAGTCAAGAAAAATATTCAGATCCTTGTGGTACAGTGTTGCTCACATCATAGCACTGTCAGTACTTCTCCCTTTCCGCTCTGCACAAGTGCAAACAGTGGAAAATACTTGGATTGAAAAGCAGCAAATACTCAGAAATGTTAAGAACCTAACATAATCATAACTTCCATGTGTTGAAGGCTAGGCACTAATGAACACGATTATTTATGCACCCTCACCCTTATTTTCAAAAATGCAACCAATAGCTATTTATTTGCAAGAAAGCTCGGCTTCCCTGAGGTAACCAAAAGTGGTTTGTAGGATGTCTTCCTCTCCCAAAGCAGGTTTGTGAATGTGATGCTTAAATTCTAACAAGTCTCAATGTTGAAATTCAAGACATTGTCAGTTAACTCTGTACCTCCAGACCTACAGTAGTAAAAACATGAACCTGCGTTGCTGAAATGCTTCAAGCTACTGTTATTTAGGGACCACTAATTAATTCCGATAACTCCAGTAACTGCAGGAAACATGGGCCTTGTAGAAATGTGTTTGATTAATTTTATGACTCTACAGATGGAACTACTTTCTTTATCATTCTGAAACAATTTACTTCTGGAAAATACCCCATGCTATCCCCATGGACGCCCTTTGGCATTTAAACGTTTTTGGCAAAGATGTGTTCATGACTTACATAGGCATTCATGAGAAAAAAAATTGAAGCAGGCTGGCTCAGATGCAAGTGGGAGTCCACAACCCTCCTACAAGCTGAATAGGTTTTAGAATATTTAGTAGCACCATAGGCCAGCTCTCCTGCACTGTTTCTTGTGTGTAGTCTTGGTTAGGTCTGGCTGCAACAAAAACTTGTCTGAGCATGCTCTGGTCTTCATCAGAAGGGAAGCAGCTGCAATTACTTAAAGTTGTTAAAACTGAAGTAGTCAAAGCAAAGTGAATAGAGGAGGGTTGTTAAGTCAAAAAAGCAAAAATATTAAATCATTAGTGACTATTCCCTAAATATATTGCATGACTTGAACAGCATCCAAGATAATATTTGTTTGAATTCAGTTTTCCCTTTTATGATGCAGTAGGTATAACAGGGCTAAATCCATGTTGATTTCAATTACAAAGTAGATCCTTTCTGTGACAGTTTCATGTTACTTGATCTTAAAGTCGAAAACCATGCTGTTGTAATAATATGAATTTGATATCAGCTTTAATGAAATAAATTTCAAAAGCTGTTTTTGGTTTACTCTGCTCTGTGCTAATGATTATGAGTGTGTGGTAGTGCCAGGTATAGGGAATCAAACCTGTCATGTTTTAATAGGTTTCATGCTTTGCAGCACTAAACAAGATGATAACCTTGACTCCTTATAACAACCCCAAATTACTTGAAATGTATAGGTGATAAACCAAGGCTCTCATCTGCCAATAAAGTTAAGTGAAATTGCACAGAGATCATCAAAGTGGGATCTCATTTCATTTACAGTATCACACAATCCAGGGGTGCTAATGTAAAAACTACATGACATGAAGGCCACTCGCCACTGCTAAAGGCTCACTTTTCTCCTACCAATTAGGCAATATTTGAAGAGCAAAACCATGACCACGTTTTCTCTACTCTGTTAACTTTATTGGCAGAATTTTGTTAAAAGAAACCCACTTTCAAGGTTTTTTTTTTTTTTCAGAATGCTAGCTTTGATTACAGTTGCTGCTGAGAAGATCTTTAATCCTGCTATTTAGAACCACTATTGAGAGGTATCCTCTGTTTTCAGACGTTTCAAAATAGCTTTTAAAGTTAAACCATTAAAGGGAACAGTTAGTTACAACAAAAGTCAGATTGCCTCAGAGGTAACCAGGGGAGCAGAGCTGTAGTAGTGTGTAGACCTGATCCTGAGAAGGGTCACATCACCTAGTGGATGCCTTTTTCTCATTCTACCAGCCACCCTGCAGCATCTGCAGAGAAAGGCAGACTGCAATAGTGTGGAGGTTAACAGACTCAAAACCATCCACTTTGAGTGAAGGAACAGGCAGACTGTACTTCTAGAGTATAAATGGAGACATCAATCAGTGCCACATCCTTAAACTGGATGGAGTCCCTCAGACGAAGCCCTTAGCTGACGTACCTTTCTGAGCAGCAGAACACTGAGGTCTTTACAGAGAAGGAGTAGCAGATGACTTCCTTTCCCAGAAACAGTGGCAGTGTGATGACATACCTGCAAGTATCAGTCTCAGCTGTTTGAGCATTTCTGCTAGAAGCACCCAAAGTAACTAATAAAAATTGGCAGTCTGGAGTCCACTGAAGAATAAAATACCTTGGGCATCCCCTACTTAGCTGTGCACTGTACCTTTCAAAGGTTTTTGTAGAGACGGATACACACACAGCATTCTCTTGATTGCTACTGCTGCCTTCCCAACTAAAGCTCTGCAATGTTAATTTCTCTCTGCATATGACATTCTCTCTGCTGTTTCCTTCAAATCGTGTTGTGCTCACAGATGAAACAGTTATTGCTCAGCAGTAAGGAGGCTGATGGTGTAAGAGGTTCTAACTCTTCATACAGCTGATAAAACTGATTTTTAGGAACTTTGGAAGGAAGTTGCTAAACAAGTTACAGTTAAACTTTCCCTTATGAAAACATTCTAGATTCTGCAGGTTATATTTGGTAGGTGTTTCTGAGTATTAGTTTAGTTTTTTCATCCTGTTAGGTATTTTTAGTTGTTGTTGTTTTTTGGTTTTTTTTTTTAACCTGTGGAAAGGATAGATGCTTTTGCAAGTCAAGTTTACATGTGACTATCAGAAAATAGCACTAAGAAGATAGAATAGACAGCTATTAAACTGAAAAGCTTTAGATTGATTTACTCCTGCTAATAAAATCATTGCCAAATTAAACTATTTGTATTGCTACAGCTAATTTGGTTAACAAGACTGTGTTCAACTCCAGTGCAGCATTCACAGGCCTGATAGCAATTTATCTTCGTTCATTTTTCCCTCAACATTTATAAATAATCTGAGATTCCATAGAATCAATACAAGAGCCTTTATGTATTTTTTGTTTCTCTTGCAGAGGTGCTGTCAAACGAGTGGTGAAAGCAATGAATCAGATGGACCAAAGAAAGCATGAGAAGTTTGCCAACCAGTTTAACTACGCACTGCATTAAGTTGTAGCAAAATGCAAAGAAGGTGAACAAAAGTGCAACTGTACAAAGCTTTAGCACAGGCCTCCGTGTTTGAAATACTGTGCTGTGTGAATTTTTACTGGGATTACTTTTTAAAGTGTTTTTAACTTCTAATTTATTTTACAATTAACATGAATTTTGGCAAAGATGTGATAGTACATAATGGACTTAATAAACTTAGTGATAAGTATTGGAAATTTACCTGAAATACAACTTATTTTATGACTTCTGCATACTCTGAGTAAGATGCTCAGGGCCTTCTTGCCTTCCTAAGGGACCAGTATCATTTACACATTGTTTGCCAGCACAGTTGTTATTTGCCTTGACTTTCATACCTTCAGAAAGATGCCTTAGAAACAGTTTGATTTTCACTCGAGGTGGTAACATGCAGGCTATTTTCTCAGCCTTACATTCTAGAAAGACTACTGCATCAAGCAGCCCCCTAGCTCCAGCACCTCTAGGCTTCTTGCACGTGAACTGGAAAAAGCCAAACCCATTCATGATCAGAAGACAACAATTTGATTTCAGCAGGTTTACAAGCCATTTCAAACTCAGCAGCTGTGGCATCTGTGTAGAAGCTGAAATTAAGTTGGTCTTGATCTCCTTCTTGACTTCCCACTAACTTTCTGAAATGAGTTTGGAAAGCATGTTATAAGTTGTGAAGATACTTAAAATGTGCTGGAGTTTAAGAGGTGCCAAAAAAAGCTGCATTACAAAGAGGTTTTTTAAGAAAATTACTCAGGTGCCTTACTGAGTAAGTGAACTGTCTGACTTCAATCAGTTAAAAAAAAAAAACAAAACAGTTGAAGTTACATTAGTTTCAATCCTAGGAGTGCATGTAGGGACCTAAATACACACAAACACCTGAATTCTTTTAACACATTGGATCCAGGTGCTTGGTGTCTGTGGGGTTTATTATTGACAGTGTTTAGCTCAATCTCTCCTAACTGCTTTGCTGGCTATCATCATCATGTCAGAAGTAGAAATAAATGAAATAAACACTGACTGGTTGTGCTCCTGTGAGGTTTCAGACAGCTTTATCTGTGAAGGAAGTTGGGAGTATCAAGGAAGATAGTGTTTGAACTGAATTTCAAAACGAAAGTAGAAGTCTTCAGTAAAACACAGAACACAAGTTAGAATGGATTCTCTACAGCACCAGTGTAGTTACTCACCTGCTTGAGATACTTCCTACTTCCTTGTACAGCAAGAGACTCCCTAGGAATTTAAAATGAAATCCTGTGTAGGTTTTGACTACCTCAGACAAGAGCTGATTTACAGCTCTGCCATGTATCTGTTGACTTGCACAAGTACTGCTAAGAAAGCAAGCAATGATTATTTAATCTTCCAGATCTTTGCAGTTTGGAAGACTTTTTTCTCTCCAACACATATTTAGAAGAATACTTCTACACTATGACAAATAATAAATAGCAGCTGTTAAAGCAAGAATTTACTGCACTGGAAACCAAAGCTGTGTCTACTGGCCATCTAGCTAACAGCGAAGGCTGCAGCTGAAAGCACAGGCTAGGACCGTACTCATCACCAGATCAGCTGAATCAACTGATCAACTGGTTTTATTTATTGGCAAAGACAAAAAACAAAAAACAGCAGAGCTCATGTACTTGAATGCAGTGTAGCTCAATGGACACTGATATTACAAAATAGTCCATATGAAAGTTCTTGGTCTTGGAGATATTAATATTTATGAGAGTAGTTCCATTGTTGGAGACTTTTGAGCCTGCACAGACTGAAGGTCTTCATTTGTGTAGGTGTGTTTCTACTGATCTCTGTAAAAAAAAAAAAAAAGGGGGAGAAACAGTGACACGCAACCTTTTGACACGAAGTATCAGCACAAGCAAGCTTCTGGGAAACAGTGGGCATACTTCAGCTCATAGTTTCCACTTTGAGTTTTCAGTAAAACAAAAAGCTCTCATGACCAAGATTAGAAAAAGGAATGGTTTAAAGCTGTGAGAAAATATGCCAAGCAAATTATACTCATCTGCAATGCTTCTTAAGAGTTGTATGAGTTCTAGAATTATCAGCTGAAACTTCTTTATTCTTGTTTTGAGGCAAGGATTTTGTTCTTCAGTTAGTGACAAGGATTTATACACCCACTTGGGTATGAAGTGTTTCTTCATGTTATGGCCTTGAAGCAGGAGAGATGGCTGGCTACTCAGAAGTGCACATCAAATGCACTGCTTCCTTAACTCTACCTTTATGTTAGCCTGACCTTTGTACCATTAAGGATCTTCCCTTCATCCATAGTGTTTGAAGAAACGCATGCTTCCCCTCCCATGTTAATTATTGCCTCATTTACTCAAAGGCTTTGCCAAGTTCCACTTTTAGGAGTATACATACAACAGATTTTGCCTTTGTAAACATCCTCATTAGAACTGGTCAGACATAATTCAGCGAAATTTAAGAGCTTTCTCCTTTTTCTGATTTCATCTGTGGCTCTGATGGAGAAAAAAAAAATAAAGACATCTGTCACCAGTGATATCAGAAAGCAAGAACTTCTCCATGCTTATTCTTAGTAGAGCATGATTGCATCTGGCAAGTAAAAACTCAAAAGGAAGAAACTAGCATGTATAAATTTGGTGCTGATGAAGGTGGGAGTGAAGGCGCTGACCTCTAATAGAGAGCACAGTGACAAACAGGTTTGGTATGAAGTTTGAGCAAAATAAGAGCACATCTCTCTGAAGTTACTGATATAGAATGATGGGGCCATGCTCACCTCTTACATGATAACTTCCAGTTTTATTATCAAAACTTACTTCAGGATTTGCTGAAAAATTCTATTAGAAAAGTGTAACCCTTAAATGCTCTTAAATTGTATATACTTAAATAAGAAAAACACAGGATTTGGTTCTGCATGGACAATGTATCATACTGTGTAAAACAGTCTGTAGGTTGGTGGCAGCTGTATGTTCAAGATGTCATGAAGGAAAACAAAAGAAAATTAAAAAAAAAAGTTCAAATTAAAGCTCTGTGAAAGTGGCCAATAAGGTTGTTCCTTATTATAAAGAGCTGCTAGCCAGAGACCAGAAATGCTGAATCTCAGGAACCTAGCAAACAAAAGTCTAATTTAGCATGCAGTGGAGTAGTTCAGCAGCAGAGGTAGCCATCTGATGGTGTTTCATACCCATGAAAATACTTCACTGTTCATGGCTCATCCAGTGCTATTAATTAACGATTGTAATCATGGAGATAGAAACGTCCTCACAGAGTACACATCACAGAAGGTAAGAACATCTGGATGTTTTGGCAGCACTTAGGTGATGAAAATGAGTCATTAAAGCCATGCCTTCTGAAATGATACTACCATGCTGAAAAATACCATGCCATTACAGGATAATCTGAATGCCAGTAACATAGAAATGAACCATCTGCAAATTGTCCCAGAGGATGTCCAGGTGCCTAAGCCTAGAAACACAGCCAAAACACTGCTGAAAGTTGGACTCAAGGTCTGACCTGCTGTGGGTGTCACTGGACTTCAGATCTAGGCCAGAGTTCTGGTTTAAACCTAGCAAGACTAAGGGAAAAGAAAAAAAGAAAAGATGAGCATTTAGAAAGGTTTGATCTGATGTGCATTTTCACAGCAACCAAACGCATACCTTAATATTTTGTTTTTAAAGAGGCAGTGGGAATCATACACTTGAAAGCTGAAGTGCTGGAGCACACATCCAGGAGACAGTTCCCATCACTCATGCTCCTATGGGAGCTGAAACTCAACCCAATGGAGCAAAATATGCCTTGCATAGGAGACCAGCCAGAAGGAAAAAATAAAAAATCGAGCCTTCTAGACTTAACCACAGTCCCTATGCTGGGGCTGGATCCTCATCCCCATCCCTACACACCTGCCCATGAAAAATACTGCTAAGCATCTTAGATTCAGGCAAGAGTTTGCTCACAGTGATAGTGGTCACTGGCTAGAAGATCAGCCCTAAGGGCTTTGTGAGAAAGGTATTACTGTGACAACTACTGGAAAGCAATTTCTCCGTGTTGGTTTTAAGACATTTGAAGAAAGTAATTAACAGTGTCTTGTGAGGACAAAACAACTTCATGTGTTTGGAAGCCTGGAGGGGTGTCCTTCACTATGTGCTGCCCTGAGGACAACACTTCAGAGCTAACAGTGCACAGCAATATCCATATTGGAAGTTGAGAAGCATTGAATGGGATAGGTTCTAGGCATCAGGGAGAGTTAAACAGAAGCAGAAGGCAACAAGGCAGAAAGAGCAGGGTCCTTCATCACAGTAACCAGAACCAGTCAACACCTAGAGCTTACCTGACAGTTCATCATGATAAAAGGCAGGTCTGGAGTCAAGTCAGCTAGGGAACGCAGCAGGTAAGGTACAAAGCCAAGCACAGAACAGCTCAGCTCAGCAAAAGGACTTTACCAAAGCATAGCTTCTCCACAAACTGAAGGATGGAGACTTCACAGAATCTTCTGAGTTGAAAGGGACCTTTAAAGGTCATCTGGTCCAACTCCCCCACAGTAAATAGGGACACTTACAGCAAGATCAGGTTAATCATAGAATGGTCTGGGTTGAAAAGGACTACAATGATCAAGTTTCAGCCCCCTGCTGTGTGCAGGGTCACCAACCATCAGACCAGGCTGCCCAGAGCCACATTCAGCCTGGCCTTGAATGCCTCCAGGGATGGGGCATCCACAGCCTCTGTGCAACCTGTTCCAGTGCATCACCACCCTCTGTGTGAAAAACTTCCTTCTCTCAGAGCCTGGTCCAGTCTAACCTTGAATATCTCCAAGAATGGTGCTTCTACCACCTCTCTAGGCAAACTGTTCTTTCTTACATCTCTTCCAGTTCAGCTTATTTCATGGCAGTCACATCCAAGGTCATGCAGCTGTGCCATATCAGTATTGCAAATCAACACCTGGCAGGTGGTGGGATGAGGCTGCTGATGAGAATTACTGACAAAGATGGCTAAATGGAGAAAATAGAGCCTGTTGTTATATTCAGAGCACTTGGAGCATCCTTAAATGAATGTGGCTATGGTCCTTTCTATTACAAAATCCTCTATAGATATTGGAGGACTTAAGGAAGAATGTAGAAAGCACCATAAGCAAAGTGCTTTGAGCAGCAGCCTTGATCAGGAACAGCCTGGACCCTCTCCATCCAGCAACAGTGATGACTCCTTCAGCTGAAATCGATGCTAGAGATCCCCAAACACATCCCCTAGA